AGTCTTTGCACCCCTGCACCCATGTGGGAGACCCAGGAGAAGCTCCTAGCTCCTGGCTTTAGATTGGCCCATCTCTAACCATTTTAGCCATTTGAGGAGGTGAACAAGTAGATAAAAATAAATCTTTTTTTCTTAGAAAAATGATTGAATTATTTCCACTAGAAAGACTTAAGAGAAAAGGAGAGACCAGAGAAATCCTCCATCCACTGGTGCACCCCCAAAATAGCCCTAGCAGCCAAAGCTGAGCTGATCTGAAGCTGGAACCCAGGAGCTTCTTTCAGGTCTCCTATGGGAGTGCAGATTCCCAAGGCTTTGGGCAATCTCTTACTGCATTCCCAGGCTACAAGCAGGAAGCCGGTTGAGAAGTGGAGCAGCCGGGACTAGAACCAGTGCCCATATAGGGTGCTGGTGCTGTAAGTGCTGTAAGGTGGAAGGTTAACCTGTTGAGTCACCACACCAGGTTTCAAATAGAATGAATCTTTTAATAATAATTAAAAAAAAAAGCTGTTTATCTTTTCTCCTGAGTACTTGAGTTCAAGGACTAACCTTCCATTTTCCACTGCCAGTGAATCCCCAGCCCTCATATGGACAGGAACTGGGCAGTCTGTAGCTGCTCTGTCTGCCTCTTTCATCTCTGCCTTCAACAGATCCCTATATTTTCCTTTCTTCCATCACCTGGAGAGGAATTTCTCCCAAATATCAGCTTTTTCCATGACTTCCTTCTATGTCAAGTCTCAAATGTTTGTTCTCCAAGCCAATCATAGGCAAACCAGTAACTTGCAGGAGATGAAGTAACGTGACTTAAACACACAAGCTGTTACCCAGCCGGCGACTCCAGATGAAGAGTAAATGAACACTTGTATTTTGTTTCATTTCCTTTGGTAGGTTTGAAATGTTTCAAAATAAAACTTTGCTGGGGAGAGAGGATGCCACACAAGTTCTGGAGACACAGAGATCTAGTGCTTAAAACCCGAATCTGCCTCTGCCAACCTCTACTGGGAGACTTGGGCAGGCTAGCTAAATCAGCCTGTTTACTGCCTATGTAAAGTGTAATAAAGTATCTCTCTTGTGAATGAAAGGAGACAGTGTATAAAGAATGCCTTGCTGGGCACCTAGGAACTAGAGAAGAGTCAGTGATCATTGTAATTTTAATCCACCAACCCTCCATTCCTCTCCAACCCAGTACAAAAGCCTGCCAGGTATTTTCAAGGCCTCTCGATGGCATCATCTAAAACACCCTCCCAAAAAGCACTCCTTCCTCTCGTTTGGACCAATTCCCTCATCCGTGGCCAAAATGGACTCCACTCAGGCCCAAACCCTGTTACTGGCTCCTTCATACCTCTGTTAAGTGTTTGTAAGCCTGTCATGCTGTTCCTGGACGTGGCCTAAGTTACCCTCATAGATGACTCTGCTCACAAGGAGAATTGTTCAACCCAGTGGTGCTCCTGGCAGCAGATGGCATTGCCTGCTTCCATGGGGTTGCTCCTGTGTGTTTGTGCTACTCTTCCAACAGCCAGCCAACCTTGTGGCCCTTGTTACTGCTCATCCCCAGGACTGAGGGACTGATGGCAGATGTTGCCATTCTCTTCGCACACCTGCAGTGACTGCTGCCTTTTCTGTGAACTCTCCTCACTCACTCTGAGCCATTTTACGATTTCTGAACACTCCTCACCTTTCAAGCAGGTCAGCTTTCTGCATTGCTATGCCTTCTGTACTTTGCTGCTTTCAGCTACCAGTTTCATCCATCCTCTGAGTTTCTGTCACTTCCTTAGGAGGCTCCCAACCTGTCTACACATTCACTTCTTCACTCTGCTCCCACTATATCTGGATCATGTTGCTCACTCCCTAGGCATATTTTGTGCCCCAGCTTAGATAATGCCTAGCTTGTGGCAGGTCCTGACAAATATTTGTTAAACAGGCATAATAATAATAATAATAATAATAATAATAATAATAATAATAATAATGTTTTCCATTTGTGTTGGGGTTGTCAGAGTCTGAATGACCTATAGCGGAGAAGGCAGAACTGTCTTTGGAACTCAGCTGGAAATTGGGGAAACTCAAGCAGGATTCTCATTTGTGGTTCATGAGAGTCTCCCTGAAACTGTGTATTTGCAGATGGCTCCCCAGCATGAGAGCAGACTGTTGGATCATATGTTATCTGCTGTGGGTTGGAATCTCTCAGATCTCCCAATGGGACCACACAGAGACAGGCTCAGTGCTTCACCGATAATTGCTCTCACGTGTCTATCTGGCAGCACACTCCCTTACTTCCCCCTCTGCCTGAACACATCAGAGCAAAGCACAAATGCACCCTGACAGGGCAGCAATGGAGGGTGAAGGTTACATCTGTCACCTGCTGGTCACCTGGCCCTGCCTCTGGCGTGCTCAACAAACAGGTGCTACCTGGCTTAATCTCAGCTCCATATGCACTAGCTTTTGCGCAGCTACCTCTTTGTCACATGTGCCTGGTCCAGGGGAACTGGGCAGCACAGAAATGCACCTGCAGGAGATGGTCCTCTCAGAAGCATAACAAAACTGCCCAGAAGATGCTCAAGTTTAACTCAGCCATGACTTAGAAGACTCACTGGTGGTGATTAAGAACAGCTGCATTCCAGGGCTAGGGCTTGTGATACAACTGGTTAAGCCACTGCTTGCGACACTGGCATCTCAGTGTCACAGGGTCTGTTCAAGTTCTGGCTCCTCCATTTCCTATCCAGCATACTGTTAATGTGCTTAAGAAGGAAGCAGAAGATGGCCCAAGTCCTTGGGCTCCTGCCACCCAAATGGGAGACCTGGATGGAGTTCTAGGCTCCCGCCTTTGGCCTGGCCCAGGCCTGATCATTGTGTGGGAGCAGATCTGAAGGTAAAAGTGCTCTCTCTCTCTCGCTCTCTGTGATATAGCTATCAAAGCTATTCAAGCTCTACTTTCCTTTCTGTGGGTTTTTAAAAAATTGATTTGAAACGTACAGTTGTAGAGAATGAAACAGAGAGAGCTTCCATCTGCTGATTCACTTTGCAAATGGCTGCAATGATTAGAGGTAGACCCATCCAAAGCCAGGAGTTTCTTCTGGGTCTCCCACATGGAAGCCAAAAAGCATCTTCTGCTGCTTTCCAAGGCATGTTAATAGGGAGTTGGATCAGAAGTGGATGTAGGATGTAGCCCATGTAGGATGAAGGCACTGCAGGCAGTAGCTTTACGTACTATGCCACAGTGCCAGCCCTTGCAACTCCACTTTCAACCCAGGTTGCTTTGATTGCAGTTAGGGGGTTGGATATAAAAATGGAAAGCACTGATGGCCCGGCACAGTGGCCTAGTGGCTAAAGTTCTCACCTTGAACTAGCTGGGATCCCATATGGGCACCAGTTCTAATCCTGTTGGCCCCACTTTCCATCCAGCTCCCTGCTTGTGGCCTGGGAAAGCAGTCGAGGACGGCCCAAAGCCTTGGGACCCTGCACCCACATGGCAGACCTGGAAGATCGGTGTGGCTCCGGCCATTGTGGTTACTTGGAAAGTGAATCATTGGACGGAAGATCTTCTTCTCTGTCTCTCCTCCTCTCTGTATATCTGACTTTACAATAAAAATAAATAAATCTTTTTTAAAAAATGGAGAGCACTGAACTTCTGAGATTCAGCTGGCTCGAGGCCTGGGTAAGCTCCTGAAGGAGAAAGTGCCCCAGACAAAGCTTCCTCAGGGAAGATGCCATCTTACTCCTCCCCAGGGAGCAACACAAAAGTGGTAACCAACGTGTCTTTGAAAAATAAATCTATGAATATATAAATTAATCATAATGAATAAATAAAGAAATGAACCACCCAGCACAGGGGCCTGAAACACAAAGGTGTTCCCTCAAGGTTCCTTCCCCTTGGCTCGCTGGCACTTGGCAGACCTTGATGGATGGATGGATGGATGGAGGTGGGATGACTGACTTGCAGGAGCTCCAGCCTTGCAGGTGTCTTTCCAGCCTCTCTCCCAGCCTGGAGAGGTTCACTCCCACGGCCAGGGAAGGATCTTCCCAGCCAGTGCTGACCTTGGAGTGGCTCAGCTCAGCATCAAGCCTGGCTGTACACACCCAGGGAGGAAGCAGCAAAGGCATGACTGGCGAGTGCCACCGTTCCCTCTGCCTCACCTTCTCTTGCTCCTGGAGTGGTGCAAAGCTCAGGCCCCTGGACTTGCAGAGTGAGTAACTGAGTGGCTGGCGCACAGTAGCTGCTCAGTGCTTGCTAGTGGAATGAATACATAAATGCGTGAAAACAGGACAGAAGAAGAGACAGGCTGACTGATGTGTGTGGCTATTTATTGGCACGGGGTCCTGCAGGGCCAAGACCACACCCTTCCCACCGTCCCATGCCCTCTTCCCTGTAAAAATAAATTCTGTCCTTCCTTCTCCCTGTCTCCTTTCTTACTGAGTCCAGGGAGAATCAGTTACCCCCGACGCATACACACTTCCACATTCAACCTAGAGAAATGATAGCGGTATGACACAGGCAAGCGTTGCACTAAGAGCTGGGCACAACTGGTCTCGTTGGTGAGGGCTGGCAGCTGTATCATGAGCAGTAACATAGGAGCACGGGCAGGGGTTGCCCCCCGACCAAGGACGGGGCTGAGTCCACTCTCAATTAAGCACTGGGTGAGCCTTGATGGGGGTGAGGGAACAAGCCTCTTTCCCACTCTCCACCACACACCCCCCCCCAGCTTTGCCTGCTTGGAGTGGGGCAGGCACAGCGAGCCCCTGGGCTGCCAAGCTGAGCAAACCCCAGGGCCAGATGAGGCCAACTCCTTCCTATGAGGGGCAGCACCCCTGGCCCAGACCTCTCCCAGGCAAGGGGGATACCGAAGGGTGTCACAGTGAATGGTGGGGGCTCTGCTGGAGGCAGGGGCACCCCCAGGGCAGAGGCACAACGTGATGGTCAGTCAAGGGTAGGTACTGAACCCAGCCAGGTATTGCCTGGGTTTTCTCCTGAGCCAGGAGGTCATAGCCTCATCAGGTATACTGCTCCAAGCTACTCCCCACTCCCACCCCCGCCCAGGCCTACCAGACCTCACACAGCTGCCCTGGGTTCATGGGGGAGCCAACAGGGCAGCCGAAGTGCCGTAGGAAGTCACGGGAGTTGGAGAGAGTACCCAGCACGCGGAAGCGGGCCGGGCTGTGCGGGTCGGTCACCAGCCCCTCGTGAGAGCTCTCTGGCGTTCGGACCGAGCACCACACCTGCGGGCCAGGACAGACATGGGGTAGGGGTGGGAGGGTGCCTAGAAGTGTCTGCGGTGCTGCTGGACCACATACCCGACTGTGGGCAGAGCCGCTCCTGGCCCAGGAGACCTGTCCTCCGCCCTGACCCTGGGCCACCAGCACCAAGGGCTGGGATCACTCCCTCCTTGCCAGCACCCTGAAGTCCCCTTACCCCAGAGTCTCGCTGCATCTTGGGTTGCCCAGCATGGATGTGGCAGATTGGGGAAAGTGGGCTCCCTGAGCCTGCCTGCTGTGACCCAAAGCACCCAGCACAGACCTTGTCTGAGTCTTCACTCTGCCATTCTCTTCATTCCTGGTAGCCTCGGACAGGCCATTTCATGTCCCCAAGCTCAGTTTCCTCCCCATAGTTACCTCCCAGGCACACTGGGAATCAACACCTGCTCCCATCCTGTCTCCCTGTGTGATCTGCAAAAATCCCACCTGAGACCCTCATCCCTGGGGGCCAGGCCTTCCAAGCCCAGCCTCTGCCACACCCCAGACCTCTAGTGACACATACAGAAGGCCATGAGACAGCAAGTCAGCCAGCCCCCAGGCCCGACCAGTGCCCACACCCACCTGGGCAAATCCCACAAAGAAGAGCTGGTGGTTGTTGAGTTCCACAGCTGGCAGCCACTGCTCCTCACCGTGCTTTCTCAGCCACGCCTTGTAAGCCTGGGGGATTCGGCAGGGAGGCAGGTGGGCAGAGTGTAGTCAGGGCCCTGTACATGCTCACCTGTGCCAAGTGCCCTCCCCACTCCAGGGCCAGTGACTCACTCACATTGTAGGCAGCCTTGAGCCCCCCGTTATCGGCGATATTCTCCCCCAGTGTCTGGCGGCCGTTGAGCCGCTCGCCGTTGACCTGGTACTGGTTGTACTGCTCCTCCATGCAGGCTGTGTGGTTCCGGAAGGCGGCTAGCGATGCGTTCTGCCACCACGGCCGCAGGTTCCCCTCCTTGTCATACTCGCGCCCTGCAGAGAACCCACCTCTGCACCCCGTGGTGGGATGCATAGACCATGGCCTGCTGCATAGACCATGGGGCAAGGGCAGGGAGAGCTCAACACCCCAAAGCCTTTGTGAGAGCCACAGGGACTTCTGGGTTGGAGGGGACAGCTCCCTGGGCCCCTACCTTGGTCATCAAAGGCATGTGTCAACTCGTGGCCCATTACCACACCGATGCCACCGAAGTTCAGGGCCCTGGTGGGTGAGGTGTGAGGTGAGGGAGTTATGGGAAGGGTCTTGCTAAATCCCACCCCTAGCCTGCACCCAACTCAATGCCAGCCCCCGCCCCCTGCCTCAGACATACTTGGGATGGTTGCGGGCATAGAAGGGGGCCTGCAGGATACCAGCGGGGAAGACAATTTCATTTTTGGTTGGCAGGTAGTAGGCATTCACAGTCTGTGGGGTCATACTCCACCTGAGGGCAGAAGAGAAACAGAGGCACAGGCTCCTGTGGTCCCTCTGTGCCCTACTGCCCTGCCCAGCTTCCTACAAGGGCCTCTTGGTCTCTGCTCTAGTATCAGTCTTGCCACCCCCTTCCCCCAGCCCTGGAGCACTGCTCTCCCCATCTTTCTGCTGCTCTAGATGTCTGTCCCCCATCCCCACTCTCACTGGTCTCGGCTAGGAGGCTTGCGCAGCTGGTCAGCCATCACCTTCGCAGAGAAGTTGTATAGATTCAACATGTTTTGGAAGAAGGAGTCTTCAGATACTTCATACTGTGGGAGCAGTGGGAAGCAGAAGCGAGTGAGGATATATGGCAGGAAATAATAGTCTCAGCCCAGCTGCTAATTAGTGCCTCTCCAAACCTCAGTTTCCCCAACTGTAAAATGGGGCTAAAGTAGCCTATAAATCATACTTGCCAGGATTTAAACAGCACTTACATTGTAGGTTGTGTTTTTGGTCTTGACTTCTTGCAAATCTGTATTTACATATTTGAGAACCAGAGAGAGGGAGAGACAGAGACCAAGAGATTCTATCGCTGGGTTCAGTTCCCAAATGCCCACAGGCTTAAGGCTGAGTGGAAGGCCAAGGCCAGGAGCCAGAAACTCCAGCCAGGTTTCCCACCACGGAGGGCAAGGGCCCAAGGCCAGGGGCCATCCCCTACTTCCTCCCACAGGGCAAATCAGCAAGAAGCTGGAATCGGAGGGTGGAACCAGGATTGGAAGTAGATGGGATGAAGGTGTCCTAGGCTGCATCTTCCACACTGTGCCAGGGACTGACCCCTGCACCCATCCTGTTCGCATCCTGCCCTATTTTTCATTCTCACAACTGCAGGAGGCAGGTGCTGGCAGGACACCTGTTTTGCAGATGAGCACACTGAGGTCCTGAGAGTAGTGACAGGAGTAGACAGGGATGGAAGCAAGCGTGGACTGGGCCTTGACTCCCCTGCCCCAGGTGTTAACACTGTGTTTCCCCTCCTGTCTGGCCTCAGGCCCTGCACACAGCCAGCACCTCAGCCCAGGCTGGGGCTTGCACCTGCCTCTGAAAGGGGTTGAGAAGTATCTCCTTCCCTCCGAGTGCTTGAGCTCCAGGCACAGGGCTTCCATGGGGCCGAAGCTCAGCCCTGGTGAGTACTGGCACTCACCCCATCGTACACGTCATCCAGCTCTTTGGACTCCAGGATGAAGTCGGGGAAGCCAATCATATCATAGATGGCGTCTGCCTGAAGAGACCAGGTGAAGGCTTTTCCCTTTCTAGGTCCTGGAAAACACTGCATTCTCCAACCCCACCTCCAGATGGCGCCCCAACCCTTGCCATGGCTCACTTTCTCCTTGGCTGCCTGGCGGGTCTTCTCATCCATCCAGACCAGCTGCCCCAGGGCCTCCTCAAAGGCTGTCCGGATTTCACTGATCATCCCCTCAGCCTGAGAGACAGGGACATGACTCAGACCCCCACCTCCACCCACAGCCCCAACCCATCTCTCCCACCCAGGGACTGCTTTTTCCCCTGCCTGGACACACACCCACACATACACTCTATACCCAAAGTTAGGTTAAATAACATACACTTTCATAATCTATTTTTTTTCACCTAGAGATATGTCCTGTTAGCACGAAGGCTGCCTCATAATACACCATAATCACAATTTATTTTTTCTCTTCCCAGCTGGTTGCACACTTAAGCTGTCTTCATTTCCCTCTATTATAAATAACATTGCCACAACCATCTTGTGGGTAATATTTTAAGCTCAGCCATGACCATCTCCTAATAAACAAGCTTATTTTTTTTTTCTAATTCTAGAAAAAGCTGTTTATTAAAAGTTTCAAAAATATAGATATCTTTAAAACCAAAGAAAACTTTTACTAATCCTACCATTCCACAGCTGCTGCTGTGCTTACGAATGTCCTTGGGGGCTTTATTTCCTATGCATACACACCTGTACCAGAATCTGAAACAGAACCAGGAATGGAGAGTGCCAGAAGAACCTTACAGACTCACAATTTCCTTGCTTTGCCGGTCAAAGGTGGCCTTCACAAAGAGAGAGCCCAAAGCAAAGCCCAGAGCGTCGTCCGTATTGGAGATGCAGGTCTGCCACCTCGGCAGGCAGGACTGCGAAAGAGGCAAAGTCAGGCCCCTGAGGAAGAGCTCTGTCCCTGGGGCTGGGAGCAGCTCTTCTCAGTGGGGTGCTAGGTCTTTCTCACTCTCCCAGGGAAAGGAGAAGTGGTATCCCCAAGCCTGCCCATCTCGGAAACAAAACCTCAGCAGATGCACACACAGTGTCCACTCTGCACCCAGCATCATCCTCTGCAGTTCCTAAGAGGGGCCGGTGGTAGTCCACAAGTTTCTCTGGCTCAGCCCCATATCCCAGTCTTCTATCCACTAAGTCCCCGATGCCAGAAACCCTGGAGCCGTCCCAGCTTCCTCCCTTTCCCTGACCCCCACCCCCTTGCAACCTGGCACAAGTTTCTGCGGATTCCATTTCTAAATCACTTCTGTACCCCCTTTTCTCTGCACCACACCTCCTGATCCCACAACACTCCAGCTCTGGCCTCCTAACTCACACCCCAGCTCCCACACAGCAATCAGAAAGACCATCTCCTCTGTAACCAAGCTGGTGATTCCTCTCTCATCATTACATATTCCGTGATTCCCCAGGCCAGACAGCACCAAGGCCAGGCTTCTTAACACAACATTCAGGTCCGGGTCTTGGAGGGCCTGCTCCCACCAAACAATTCAGACCAGAATGTATGCGAATCACCAGGCTCCTTCTGACCTCTGGGTGTGTGCACAGGCTGCTCCTTCTGCCCTCAACATGCTCTCTCCCTGCTTTTCTAGTGGATTTGACTGTCTGATATCTCTTCTGTTGGCCTGCTTCCCACCAGTGCTCCCCACCCTCCCCCACAATATCTGGACCCATGAGGACCATGCATGCATCTCAATCCTGCAAGCCAGTCCTGCTTTACAGACCAGGAAATGGGCTTAGAGATTTCAGGTGACACGCTTACATTCTCAAAGGTTAATAAATAGAGGATCTTGGGGTTGACATGGTGGCTCAATAGGCTAATCCTCTCTCTGCAGCACCAGCATCTCATATGAGTGCCAGTCCCATCTGCTCTACTTCCAATCCACATCCCTGCTTATGGCCCGAGAGAGCAGAGTCCCTGGGTCCCGCACCCATGTAGGAGATCCAGAAAATATTCCTGGGTCCTGACTTCAGATCAGATCAGCTCTGGTCATTGCAACCACTTGGGGAGTTAATCAGTAGATGACCGATCTCTCTGTCTCTTCCTTTCTGTAAAATCTGCCATTCAAATAAAAGTAAAGAGATCTTGAAAAAAAAGGAGGGGTAGTTGGGATTGGACCCCAAGTGGATTCAATGCGACTCTCTCTCTCTGTGACCCACTGCACCTGTGCAGCCGGAAGCATACTGTCAGGGTGTAGCAGCCGCCAGCGGGAAGGGAGGCTTGAGCAGAGTCAGTGAGCACACCTTCTTGGTGCCGTAGAGGGTCTCCAGCAGCTTCTCCTGGGCAGACTCAAAGCGCCGGTCCAGGCTGGAGGTTGTCTTCTGCACCAGGTTCCAGATCAGGTAGTTGTTCAGCACGCTGACAACCAGATGGGGAAATAAGGAGGAGTGGCAGAGGCCTTCTCCCCACTTCTCCCCAACCCCAAACTGGCTCCCCAGGGTCACACAGGCAGCAGGAGGCCTGAGAAGCACACAAGGCGCTCGCTCTCTCCCCTCCCAACTCACACCGGGACCACAAACCTGCCTGGAGATGCAAGGTCGGAGCATGGAGTGGGAACAGAGCCCTGACACTTTGGCCACAGACATTCTGATGTGGCAAGTCCTGCTCTGGCTAGCTGTGCCAAGCCACCATGCCCTATCCTTACTGGGAGCGCTCCAAAGAATCCTGAATCTCAGTCTCTGCACCTGGGGGGCGGGCTCCCCCTTACCTTGGTTGCGTGTGGTTGATGAGCTCTGACACCTGCTGCAAATAATCTGTGCCATAGACTACGACTGGCTCTGAGTCCCCCAACTCCAGCGGTGACAGCAGGAAAGACAGGAACTCAAGCCAGTCCACGGAGGGCGCCAAAGCCTGCGAGCCAGCAAGTGAGCCAGAGAGAACATCTCAGGCTGCCTGCCTCCCCCCAGCTCTGCAACCTTCCCAACCTCCCAGCCTACCCCCTCCGGCTTCCAGCAGACCCTTCCCCCACGGATCCACTGCAGCCTGGGAGCTCTTCCCATCACCATGGCAACAACTACTGGCTGCTTGGTAACTCCCTTCTGCAATAAATCCTTTTCCAAGCTCTAACAGCTTCTCAGTCTGGGAGCCCAACCACTTGCTATACTGGGAAAACCCACCATGTGTGATGTTCAGCTGTGGCACAGAGAGGCAAATATTTTCCTAACAGTTGATAAAATACCATGCCCCTGCCACTGCCCCCCCCAACTCCACCCCATTCCCTGGCCTCTCCTGCAGGGCCCCCTCTTCCTCCAACCTCTTCTGAGCCCAGCCCCGAAAGGGCAATTCCTGGTACCAGCAGGGCTCCCATCACCATTTGGATAGTTTCATGGACATTTCACATAGTCAAGAACACCTTTTTAACCCTAACCCTCTGGGACAAGAAAGGCTGAGAGCATGTCTATCTGGGAGGGGTGGCCTTGAATGAGCAACCAGGAAGCTCAGAACAGCAGGATAAGCTAGGAAGCACTGGGGGCGGCAGCCTCAGGAACATGCCATGAAGGCCAGCTGGTCTGGCCTCCCAACTCCACCCCGGATGTGTCCAGTCCCTCGCCTTCCCCACCTGCAGCTCCAAGATGCTCATCTTGTGATAGATCTTCTCCTCGTCACGGCGCTGGTCCTGGGGCACTGTGATGTTGGCCAGCTGCATCTCCAGTTCCAGCACCTGCTGCATCTGCTCCCGCGTGGAGCCTGCCTTTCCACCCAGCAATAACCCCAGCTCCTCCATGTAGTCCAGGTAGGCAGTGAGCACCTGTCAGGACCATCACTCGAGTTACTCCCTGAGCCCAACAACAGGTCCTGCCTGAGGCTGGTGGGGTCTGTCTGCTTGAGGCTGCTTAGAGAAGCATTCCTGAATGGCCCGGCTTCATTCTTCACAGAAAGCTTACTCCTGTCTTATTGACATGTGTGTGTGCTTACCTATACCCATTTCCCCAGAGAGAGCATTATTCCAGGTTACCACAGTTTATAGCCACTAGAAGACAAGGCGGGCCCAAACAAGCTCTCTGTAAAGATCTGTCTGATGGTGGGGGTAGTGGCATGGGACATTGTAACACAGCAGGTTAAGTCATCAAAGCCACTACGTGGAACACCAGCAGCCCCTGTGAGCACCAGTTGGAGTCCCAGCTACTCCACTTCAAACCAGCTCCCTTCTAGTATGCTTGGGAAAGCAGCAGCAGAGGGCGCCAAGTGCTGGGACCCCTACAATCATGTGGGAGACCTGGGTAGAATTACCAGCTCCTGGATTCAGCCTGGTCTAGCCCCTGCTGTCGTGTCACTTGGGGAATGAAATTAGCAATGAAAGACCCCTCTCTCTCTTCCTCTGACTTTTAAATAAACATAAAGTTTAAAAAAAAATCTGTCCAGGGGTGGAGCTGTTTCCCACAATACATTGCCTTCTCATTCCCTGAAGCCCTGTGAGTTGGTCCGGTCCATCAGTGGCCATGCACCTACCATGACCCACCTGCCAGTGGCAACCCCACGTCCTGCCAGGCCTCACTCTGGCTGCCTCTGCACTGTTTTCCAGTTTCCACAGGGCAGAAAAAAGTCAGCAGCTCCCAGTGTAGACAGAGCTCAGGCTTTGCTAAGGGCTTGACATCTAATGTGTCTCTGTCCAGGACAGAGCCCAAGCCAGATGACTCCAGGGGTTATAGCATTTCCTTGGGGACCAGGACAAACAGAAGTCGCTGCATCCCCTGCTGGCATGCTAGCTCCAGAAGTGAGGCCAGGGGCTGTGCTTTTCTCTGCGCACCCCTGTGGTCCACAGTGCCTGCCACACAGAAGCTGCTCTGATCCCAGCCATCCCAGCTCCCACAGGCTGCTAAGCACACACCAGCAAGCCATCTCACACTAGCCCTTGCCTACTTACTTCCTTCCAGCTTCCAACTTGGGCGACTGCCCTGAGCTCTGCCTCCACCCTATTTTTTCTCCTCTTTTGCCCTTCTGCATTGTGGTGACTCCCAGATGTCATCACAAGGGCTTCCTGTCCAAGTCCACTGGGGACATACTTTCCCTCCCCACCCTCAATGTGCTGGCTGAAGTTGCTCTCTCTTATCTACCCCAGCTTCTGTCTGCCCCTGGTTCGGGTGAAGTTCAAATTGCACCTGGGCGCCTACTTTCTGGAGTTCCCCTTTTCATTTCTGTTGGGGTATATCCTGAACTTGACCCACAATGTTCAGCCATCAGGAGTCTGCACATCTGTCCGAAGGACTCAGGCCTCCCCTCCCCTCTCCCTGTGTTTCCACTGCGCAGTCCTCCCCTTTCGCACAGCCACCTGTACCCTCACACTAGGCTTGTTCTGGGCTGTCCTTTCTCCTCTTTGCCAGCCCCAACACCTGCAAACAGGACAACGGGGTAACAGGACGTTGCATATTCCCACAACACACACACACACACACACACACACACTTAGACAGCAGTGACACCGTCTTATCATTCCATGTCTGGAAGAAGGCCAGGCCATGGGACAGGAAGGACAGGACAAAGCTTGTCCTCCTGGTTTGTCGTGCTCCATGGCTGTCTCCTTGGCCCCTCTCTCTCCCTCCCCTAGCTGCCCTCAAAATATAAAGTTCTCCTTCTGGCCTGTGTTTGTTCCCCACCCCTTTCCTCATACCTCCCCTAAGGCCCTGGCTAGTTCTTCCAGGGGAGGCCCCAGAAACTCCCGCCTTCATCTTCATTTGTACTCTAAGCCTCCACAAGAGCAACTTGCCTGGCTGCCTGCTGACTTCTCCCCACACAAGGTGTCTGGACCCCTCCACCTCTCATGCCCCACATGTCTGTCACATCCTGGAGTAGAAACTTGCACCCCACATACCTCCTAGCACTGAATGAGGGAGCGGCTGGGATGCCCGTTTCAACCTCAGAGAAACTCTCTCACACAGAGCAGCTGAGCTGGGTTGAAATCCAGGTCTGACCTCAAGTCTTTGCTGGTGACATCACACCGCCTGCTCTGCCTGCACCCAACCCATGTGCCCTAAGCTGTTGTCCCTTCCCAAGGACCCCTCCACTCCACTATCACCCAGCTGTGCAGCCTCAACCTTCCTCTCCTCTCCTCCCTGTCCTAACAGCCCATCATCCCTAGTCTCTGTTGAGATTGTACTTCCTACCTTCACTTATCACATCTTCTTCCTGGGCACTTGCTAACATTGAGTCCAGAGCCCAGCAGAAACTGCCAACTTGTGCCCAGGCCCCGTCTTGCATCTAGCATCTATATCTCAGCCAAATGACCTCCCAGGTCATTCGCTCCCTCTCCTGGAAGGTGCAGTTGGCACTCTGAAGTGTGATGGGATAGCATTCGGGGTGCCCACCCTCTGGTTGCAGCCCCTGCCCACATCACACATCTCCAGCCACTTGTCTGCTTTGGACACCCCACACTGCTGACTGCACTGGGCCCCAACACACCAGGCCTGCCTTCCTTCTATGCTTTGTTTTCCTGTTCTCTCTACTCAGTGTGTTTTTCTCCAGCCCTCTGCATTTTGCAGGGCCTGGTGCTTTGGGAAACTTCCTCTGGCCATCTGAGTCTCTGCTGAGTCCTAGAGACAGACCCTCTTTCCAACCTGGGTCTCAGCTCTCTAAGCCCAGGAACTATCAACACCAGAAGCTCCCTGTGACAATGGCCCTGAACTGTGAGTCTTCCATGGAAACAGTGGGTGCCTACAAAGTGACCTGGGGAGGTGCGGGGTGGGGAGAGGAAGAAGGATTATTGGCTTCCTGGGTGACAGTCCAGGCTCACCTTCCCTACCCTGACCTTGGGCAAAGAGTAAACTAAACCAGCATTGGCCTGCCCAGCAGTGGCAAGGACTCTTAAAGATGACCCTTACTTTCTCATTGGCGGTTTTGTTTAAGTAGTAATCGCGAGAGGGCAGGAAGAGCCCAGACTGGTCCACCTGCAACAGCAAGGAAAGAAGTGAGGCCTCATTCCCCTCCCGCCTGCCACCAAGCACAACCTGGACTTAGGCAAGAGCTGGGAGGAGCCAAGGGGTAAGGATCAGGGAGTAGGGAACAGAGACAAGCCCAGCCCCCACCCCGGGGTTCCAAGTCCTCCCCCTCCTCCAGACGGCACCTGAATAACATTGCTGTTGGAACTCTTGGAGTCGGCACTGACATAGACGGTAAAAAACGGGGTGGCCCTGTAGGTCCCTGCTACCGCCTTTAGCACCTCCATGAAGTTGTCCTGGTCCCAGGGTCCCGTAATGTTCCACCCACCAATCTGAGGAAAGAACACGAGTGGTACCCATGTGGCCAGGAGGCTTCCCTCCTCGGAGCTTTCTGGGGTCACATCCTCTCTCACACCCCCTCTGGCGGTTCACCCCGGTCTGCAGCCCCACTCAGCCAGCGGCTGGCGGTCTGGAGCTGCCTACTTTGTCAATGAGGTCTCGCAGGGGCTGGGCTCCCAGCTCCTCTATCCGCTCCACCTGCAGGCAGGACAAGTAGAAGCGCTGTGTCTTGCGCTCGGCTTCACTGCTGGAGTTGAAGGTGGTGTTTTCTGTGGGAGGCAGAAGTGCAGTGAGGTGAGCAGCTGAGGGTGGGGGTGAGGGGGTGTGTCCCTCGCTTAGGCTGGTCACACTCCTGCTGCTTGCCCTCTCAGCAGGTGGACATTCATCCTTAGGGAGCCACTAAGGCAATGTACTCCCTGCTCTGTCCACAGAGACGTTATCCAGCAATCCCTAAGCACCGTGGCTTCTGGGCTTCTATGACACCCCTGTGGTGCAGAAAGAGGCCCCTCCAGTGGCGCTCACCCCCCCGCACCCCCCTCCACGTTCCCAGAGCCAGGGAGCGACAAGCACTTTCCACATGTGGATTTCAATGAGTCCCTGCAAAGTGACAGTCCCTTGCGCTGGGCACCAGAGCCTGTATGAAGCACACACAGCCACACTGCTGACCCCACTCACCAAGCAGGTGCTTCAGTATGGCCTGGTTCTGGTCCCAGAGGCTGTTGAAGGTATTCCATCGAGAGCGCCCATCAGGCAGGGGGTTCCTTCGAATCCAGCCACCGCAGGAAAACTGGTAAAAGTCATCACAGGGGCTCACACTGCGGTCCAGGGACTCCAGGATCTTCCCAGCTACGCGGACGCAGGCCTCCGTGAGACAGGTGCCGGGCGACGGCTCTGTGGCAGGGTGGGAGACTATCAATGTGTCTAGGAAAAGCAAGCAGACCCTTGGGGGCGGGGGCCTGACCACAGATGGGCAAAAGGAGGGAGAAAGAAGTCTTGGAGAAATTCAGAGGCCCTTGGGCAGCCAGCCAGAGCCCCTGCAGATACAAGGGTGGGGGGCTGTGGCTGCCTACCACCTACCTCTATGGTGCTGAACCCCTAAGGCCACCAAGCAGCCCACGAGGAGTGCAGCCAGCAGCAGCGAGATCCCAGCCAGTGACAGCTCCAGCTGCGTGCGGGAGCCCAGGAGTGGTCTTGTTGCCTTCCGGAACCCCACCTGGGAAGAAGAGGCACAGATAGCTGCTTCAGCTGCGGGACAGGGATCTGCAATCTCAGGCAGTTTCCAAGAGCCACGGAGCCACCAAGAAGCTTAAAGGGAGTGAACTTCGGACTTGGAGCCACGAAGCAGGATGAGGGGGCGCCCCGAGCCCCCTCTTTGTGCAACGTCATGGTTGAGTTCGCCTCACCACAGTCCCAGCGCAGAGGCCAGAGATGGAGCGGACAGAGGTGGGGGCAGGCGACCCTCCAGCACAGCCCAGAGCTCCTGTACGGACCAGGCGTCATGCCAGGACTGGGAGGGCCTGCTGAGGACGGGAGGACCCCCTTGCCCACCTCCACGGCGTCCGGGGAGGCCCCGCCCTCTACGGGGGTCTCGGGTGCGTCTTCATCCCGCAGCGTGGCCCGCTTGTACTCCACCATCTGCCAGACAGTCGGGGCGCCAGCCGAGGTCAGCCAGAGGGGTGCTGTGCGCTCCCCTTACCCCCGCCCCCGGCCCTGTCCCTGCACCCCTCGCCCAGCAGCGACCAAAGCCCTTTCCCACCTGCCAGAGACTTCCCCAGCCAGGATTCCCTCCACCGCACCCCGTACGCAGCCGGAGCTCTTGCCCCATTCCGCCGACCCCTATCCGGCTTGGCCCCCTCCACACCCGGCTCTCCTCCCCAGGCCCCTACTTACGTTGCCGCCGCCGCCACCACCGCCCAGCTCCTGCAGCGCGACGTTCATGGTGGAGTCGGGCCGAGCGGTACCTAGGGCTACCCGCGGCTGGCCCTCTGCCGGGCCGCGGCCCCGGACCCCTGCCCGGCCCCGTCACCGCCGCCGCCCGCCATCACAGCCGCCGAGGCCGCCGCCCCTCCCCGCCCGGCCGCGGCCGCCCCCGCCCTGCCAAGTCCCCCTCCCCCCGCGGCGCCGCGCCCGGGGTGGGGGTGGCGGAGGGAAGGAGGGGCTGCGGGTGTCGGGGGGTGGAGAACCAGACCGCGACGCTGGGCGAAAGCCCCTGCTCCCCCCACCGCGACACCCGGGGTCCCTCCACTCTTCCTGAGCCGCACCCCCCCCATCTCAGCAGCACCCACTCTGAAAGCCACCTATGGTTTGTCTTCCTGCGATCCAAGTCCCAACCCAATCTCCAGAACCCAGGCTCTCCCCCAAGCTCCCCAGGCACCTGGGGGATGTGCCCTCTAAAGAAACATCCTCCCCGAGTAGCACCCGGCAGGCCCCACAGAACTGGGTGTCCCCTAGCATGGAGACCCCAGGCGTCAGACAGGCCGAGGCACAGCCCCAGGCATGGTGCACGCATCACCATCCCGTCTCACACGGGTGGATGTGTGCACTGCACCCCGAGCAAACGGGTATGCAGTTCTTGGGTACCCCCCACGCCTAGGGCAGGGGCAGCGGTAGCATCTGTCCGGCTTGCACAGGCGGCCCACCCAGACTCCACTCTCCCGCTGTGGCCTCAAGATGCACTTTTACTCTTCAAGATAATTGCTGTCATCAGATCGTCTCATAAAGGGAAGGTTACAGATGGTGACAAATTGGCAGGGAAAAAAACAGCCACACACAGATATTTAAAGAAAAGACGTGCTAACACTTCTAAGTTGAGGGAAGCAAACCATTTTATTTGGGAGGTTTACAAGAGGAAAAAAAAAACCCACTAAGCAATATTTAACTGCTAGGCAATCGTGTGGCATCCATGCATCTGCCATCTGCCTTCCATATTGTCACTCCGTCACCAGGCCTGGCAGTGCTGCCTTCAGCTGGCAGAAGAAGGCCTGGTGTTTTCTACAGTGGGGGAAGGGGCTGCCTCATCCTGCCACATCAAGATGGCGCCAGAAGTCCATTCTTTTCATCTGAGGCCAGGTCCCCAATTCCAGACCTCCTGACAGGAGGGTGGTTTGGAGGGGTGACAAATGTGCCGTCTATTTCTGACTTCCTCCTGTAAAGAGTTCCCACATAGATTGCATGAAAAGTGCAGGGTCCATCCCAGAATCTCAAGTTCCCAAGCAGGAGACACAACAATGTTACAACTAGGAGGAGAGATTAGAGATTCTGGATTTAGACCCAGCTTCCTTGTCTGTAAAATGGAAACAAAAAAATGGCACTTAGTGCCCGGCACCACAGCCTAGCAGCTAAACTCTTCACCTTATAAGTGCCAATTTTAACCACAGCAGCCCTGCTTCCCATCAGCTTTTGTGGCCTGGGAAAGCAGTAGAGGATGGCCCAAAACCTCGGGACCCTGCAGCTGTGTGGGAGACCTTGAAGAGGCTCCTGGCTCCTGGCTTCAGATTGGCTCAGCTCCAGCTGTTGCAGCCACTTGGGGAGTGAATCAATGGACAGAAGATCTTCCTGTCTCTCCTCCTCTCTATATATCTGACTTTAAGTTCCTGCCTGTGGTGCCGGCATCCCATATGAGCACTGGTTGCAGTCCTGGCTGCTCCGTTTCCTATCCAACTCCTTGGGGAAGCAGCAGAGGATGGCCCAAGGCCTTGGGCCCCTGCGCCCACGTGGAAGGCCCGGAAGAAGCTCCTGGGTTTGGCCTGGCTCAGTACTGGCCATTACAGCCTTTGGGGAGTGAACCAGGGTATGAAAGATTCTCTCAATCTCTTCCTCTCTCCGTAACTCTCTGCCTTTCAAATAAATAATAAATAGTCTTTAAGAACAAAACAAACTTTAGAAACGAAGAAGCAGTGCTGTGCCACAAGGCCCATCCTTGACTCAGCTTTTTGTTTGGAAGTACTAAAACCATTGTAGCCATTTTTTTTTTCTGTTTGTTCATCTCGGCCTTATTTCTAATACTGAAAAAGGGAGAATGGGGACAAGTGTTTGGTGTAACAGTTAAGGTGCCACTTGGGACACCACATCCCATAGTAGAGTGCCGGTGATCAGGTCCTGGATCGGCTCCTGAATCCAGCTTCTTAAGAAGGCACACCCCGGGAAGCAGCAGGGGAAGAATCAAGTACACGGGTGTCTGCCATCCACACTGATATCCACACTCCTGACTTTGGCCTGATGAAACTCCAGCTGTTGTACGTATTCAGTGAATGAACCAGCATATGGGATATTCTTCTTCTGCCTCTCTGCTTCCCAAATTAAAATATTTTTGAAAGGGGGCAGAAAATGGAATCAATGTGCAATATTGGAAGACTTGTGGAATAAATCAAATGTACTCATAATGGGACACACTATGCAACACTTGCAAATGATATGAGTTAATACACTGGGGAACTGTTCTTTACATGGGATTAAGTGGAAGAGAAAAAGGATTACAAAATCCCTTGGGGTAGGGCTGGTGTTGCGGTACAGTGAGTTAGGCTGCTGTCTGCCAGATCAGCATCTCCTATGAGGTGCTGGTTCAAGTTCTGGCTTCTTTTGATCCAGTTCTCTGTTAATGTGCATGAAGAGGCAGTGGAAGATGGCCTGAATGCTTGAACCCCTACTTCCCAGAAGGGAAACCCTGATGGAGTCCCAGGCTCCTGGCTTTGGCCTGACCCAGTCCAGGCTGTTGAAGCCATTTGGGGAGTGAACCAGAAGCTAGGTCTCTCTCTGTAACTCTGCCTTCCAAGTGAAGATGGGAGGAGGAGCAGCTAGCACCCATATGGGATGCCAGCATCACAGTGGCCTGCTATACCACAACACTGATCCCTAAATTAATCTTAGAATACACAAACACACATACACATCAGAATTTCTTGGGGCCAGGTGTTTGGTGCAATGGTTAAGTTGCACCTTGGGACACCAGAGTGCCTGATTTGAACCTTTGTTCCTTCTCTTCAGATCCATGCACATCCTGGGAGTCAGCAGTTGATGGCACAAGTGATCAGGTTCCTGCCACCCAGATGACAGACCTGATTGTGACTGTGGCTCCCACTTTTATCTTACCCTTCTCCCGCTTCTGCAAGCATTTGGTGAGTGAACCAGTGGGTAGAAGATCTTTGTGTCTCTGCCTTTAAAAGGAACAAAAGTGAACACACACACACACACACACACACACACACACACACACACACACACACAATCTAGAGCCAGTATGGTGGCACAGCCAGTGAAGCAACCACTCATGATGCTAACGTCCCATACTGGATGGAATGCTGACCGCAGTCATGATTAGCCTCCTTCTGATCCAGAAACCTGCTAATGGACGTGGGAAGGCAATGGAAGATGGCATAAATATTTGGGTCCCAGTACCCCAAGACCTGGAAAACCTGGATAGAAATTTTTGGTTTCAGGGGCTGGCATCTGGCTCAATAGGCTAATCCTCGCTGCTGCTGTGGAGCCAGTATCCCATGTGGGGACTGGTTCATGTCCCAGCTGCTCCACTTCTCAGGCAGCTCCCTGCTTGTGGCATGATAAAGCAGTAGAGGATGGCCCAAGTTCTTGGGATCTTGCAACCCATGTGGAAGACCTGGAAGAAACCCATGGCTCCTGATTGGCTCAGCTCTGGCCATTGTGATCATTTGGGGAGTGATCCAATGGATGGAATGTATGGAATACCTGTCTGGGTCTCACCTTCTCTTTCTCTACAAAATATGCCTTTCAAATAAAAATAACTAAATCTTTAAAAAAGAAAGAAGGAAATTTCTGGCTGCAGCCTGGGCCAGCATGTCCATTGGAGTCAGTTGGGGAAGTAAACTAGTGGATAGAAGACATCTCTATATATCACTTTACTTTTCAAATAACTTTTATTTCACTTCTGTGAAGCAAAACATATAAGAGCCCAGGCCGAAAAAGAAAAGATTGGAAAGATGCAAGACTGAATGTCAAAAACAGTATATCTGAGAGGTAGCACTGTGCCACAGCAGGTTGGGCTGGGGCTTTTTCACATGCAACCCAATTGGAGTCCTGGCAGCTCAGCTACTGATCCAGCCCCCTGCTGATGTGCCTGGAAAAACAGCGAAGGGTGGTCCAAGGGCTTGGGCTTCTGCCTCGCACATGAGAGACCCATGTGGGTCACCGGACATGAACCGGCACCCATATGGGATCCCGGTGCGTACAAGGCAAGGACTTTAGCCACTAGATTACTGCACTGGGCCCCATTCTGCCTTTTAAAATAAGTGAATTTTTGATCTTTGATAGGGAAGGGGGAGAATATATCTAACATAACATCGCTTGAATTTTTTTTTTTTCCAAATTTATTTCAGGGCCCAGCGTGATGGCCCAATGGCTAAATCCTCACCTTGATAAACTGGGAATACGGGCACCAGTTTGTGTCCCAGCTGCTCTACTTCCCATCCAGCTCCCTGTTTGTGGCATGGAAAAGTAGTGGAGTCTGGCTCAGAGCCTTGGGACAATGCACCCATTGGGGAGACAGGGAAGAGGCTTTTGGATTCAGATTGGCTCAACTCCAGCTATTGCAAGTACTTGGGGAATGAACCAGCAGTTAGAAGATTTAAAAATACATAAATATAAATATACTATATATATATGATATATATATGATGTGTATTATATATGTATATCCCCCAGTGCGGTGACCTAGTGGCTAAAAGTCCTCGCCTTGAATGTGCTGGGATCCCATAGGGGCGCTGGTTCTAATCCCAGCAGCCCCACTTCTCATCCAGCTCCCTGCCTGTGGCCTGGGAAAGTAAGGACGGTCCAAGGCCTTAGGTTCCTGCACCCATGCGAGAGACCTGAGGAGGTTCCTGGCTCCTGGCTTCAAATCGGTGTAGTACCAGCTGTTGCGGTCACTTGGGGAGTGAATCATCAGATGGAGGATCTTCTTCTCTGTCTCT